CTTACTGTCTTCACCCTGCCAATGTGCACGTTCAGCTTTTCCCTATGAACTTGCCATAACCGACAACTAGGGGTTGTAATGACGAAGAGGATCAAATTCATGATTAAATTTGCGAACGAAGTTATAACTGATATCTCCAAAGCTCTCTATTAAATTTTTATGCGTTTTGTGCTGTGTAACAGCAGTACAAAACGCATATTGTCACGGGGTTGTCTGTGTATGTGTTTGTGTGTGTGTGTGTGCGTGTGTGAGTGTGTGCGTGTCCGCAGCAACTTGTTCGCACTTTCAACTCGGGAACCACAAAAGCTAGGAAGCTGAAAATTTAGGGGAACGTTCCCCACCCGCGCGTGACCCCGCAAAATTTAAATTCAGCTTCCCCGTACCCGCGGGTAACGCGTACGGCCCCGTGAAAGTTTTTTACAGATAAGCTAATATCTCGGGAACCACAGAGTCTAGGCGGCTGAAATTTTAGGGAATGACCCCCTGCCCACGCTCAACCTTGCTCATTCAAATTCAGCGTTCTCGCGCTCTCGGGCACCACCTACGGCTCCGTGAAAGTTTTGGCGGGTAAACTATTAACTCGGGAATCACGGAAAGATATTCATCCTTCAAAGTTTCGAATTCTGCTTTCATGCGCAGGTGCGTGAAATTTTTAAATGTTTTCCAATGTTTGAACTATTTTTGCATAGACTGAAGTACGAAGCAGTGAAAATCATTAACAGGCTTAACTGTTTTTCAATGTTTGAACTATTTTTGCATAGACTAAAGTACAAGGAAGTAAAAATCATTAGATAGGCAATCGTTTGATGGGTTAAATTGCACAAAACGCATGATCGCACCGGCTAGTCTGGTGGGCGTTGCTATTTATTAGTTTTTAAACAAGCTGGAACGCACTAGATGAGCCAGTGCGATCATAAGTTTTTGCATATATGCAAATTGCAACCCAGGCTGGAGCGCACTAGGCGGGCCGGTGCGATTATGCGTTTTTGCACTTTTCGTACCGTAGCAAGATCGCAAGGA